AAATAAATTTGATAAATTTTATTCTTATATCAAATACAAATAATAAAAACTCAAAGCTTAAAAAAGCTTATTTTGTCTGAAATTAGGCACACAAAAAAATCAAAACTAAGCTTAATGAAAGTTTATTTATGTTTTTGTGATAGTAAACATTACCAAAGATTAAAAAAGGATTAACATAAAAAATAAACATTACTCAAGCTTAAAAAAAGATCAACAAAGCTAATAAAATATCAATCAATAAATAAAGATAAACAAAGCTTTATTTACTATTTATTTAAAAAATTTAAATAATTCAATTTAAACATTACTTAAGCTTTAATCTTTATTTAAATAAAGCTCAAACAAAGAATAATAAAGCTAATATAAACATTTACAAAGCTTATTTATAGATAACTATAACTTAAATGCAATTTAAGTAAACTTAAAGGCTTTATTATTTGTTATTCGCAATCTAAGCATAAGTTAATATTTAAAAACATTTAGTAAATGATTTACCTGACATCGATAATACCTTTGAACATTCATAGCATGTCTGCATTGACAAAATTTCTGAGTATCCATTATTATGTTGCGCTGGAAAAATCTTAATAAATTTTCTTCATTTATTAGTTCAATAAAATATGTCAGAGTAAACATCTTCAAAGTGTTGAGAAGTTAACATAAAGTGAAATAAAAACGTGATTAAACAATTCGTAACTCTTTTCCACAAATCATTTTATTTTTTATGAACCAATAGACCCCTATTGGTTCATAAAAAATTTTATAACCATTTAAAAGATGAGATAAATTTTTTAATTCAAGTGGTTACTGAAAACGGGTACGATGAAAAAATGCTTAAAGATATTTCTGATCAGGTTCGAAAAAAACGTTTTGCGAACAAAATTGAGATTCTACCAAACTCTAGTAACCTTCCTATAATCTCTTTACCATGGATACCCAATAATATCTCCCAGACTTAGAAGAATATTTAGAAAAGCTGGTTACAGAACTGTTTTTAAATCAAATGCTAACCTAAAAACGCTATTAACGTCTAAAAATAAGTCTAAATTACCATGCAACAGCACCCCAGGAACCTATTTAATTAAGTGCAAATGTTTTAAAGAATATGTTGGTGAAACAAAACTTCAAATACGAACAAGGGTTCAACAACACCAAAAATTTTTGACTGAAGGCAAGTTAAACCAGTCTGCATTAGCTTTGCATAAAGTAAATTGTAATGAGGACATTGAATGGAATAAAGTAATAACACTTAAAGTTAAGGATAAAAAATTTAAAAGAAAAGTCCGTGAGGCCTTAGAGATACAAAAACATCAATGTTCTCCAACGTACGGTGGTATGAATTTGGACAATAGACAATAATTAAAAACAAATTTTTGGACTTCATTTTTTTTTCATACTTAGGTAAAAGAAGCCATTATAAAGGTGACGTCAAAATAGAAAAACAAATTTTTTTTGTTGTTATTTAACGGTCACAATTTTTGTAATTATATCATATTATATGCTGATGATGCCGGTGCCTATAATCCGGCGAAAATTTCAAATAAATTATTTAGTATTGAGAGAATTCGTATTATCTTATGTTTTAAATTAGTTTATATATATATTTACTCTCGTACAAGATGTCAACATTTAAATCATATATATATATATATATATATATATATATATATATATATATATATATATATATATATATATATATATATATATATATATATATATATATATATATTTAGATTTATTTCTTTGTTTAAAAATAGTTACTATAACTAGATAATATAGTTACAATAATATGTATATATATATAATTACAATAACCATTAGAGAATATATATTTACATTTACATTTGGCAGTAACAACGGCAATACTTCCAGAAGATCATGAGGATCTTATTATGAAGCCCTTAAAAAGTATGATACATTTACACTTTTTCAATATGATTTTAATTAAAAATAAACTGTTCGTAATGAAATAATAATACATCTTTTTATAAAAAACTTTATTGTTTGTTAAACAAAACAATATACAAAAGTAGTTAAAAATAGAGGAGAATATTTTCTAATAAAAGCGAGCGCAAACAAAATAAACACCATTAACACACAAGTTTTTCACTTTTTGCTGTTCTTTCCTAGCCTTAACAGCACTAAGGGCAAAACTAGGTCATATGAATATGTTAGAGATTGTTTTTAAAACATATGTTTTTTTATTTCGAAAAAAAAAAGTTTAAAAACGTTTAACAAGTTTAACAAAATTTGTCAAGCTTTGTTTTCAAGCACAAAAACTATTGCGTTTACAGCATACAGGTGCTTATCACTGATCTCTATAATAATGATACAATAATTATTGTAGAGATATAATAGTTATTATAGAGATCAGTGGTGCTTATTCAAAAGCCTATAAAAATTCGGCCAACAAGAAATTTTATTTGGACAAAGCGTTAAATCACATTTTTCATCCAATCAAAACAGATCTGTTTTTATAATTTTACCTTTATCATCTCATGATGGTAGAGTTATTTTTCATGTTTAACTGGAAATATTTTAAATTTAATTGTTATTTTATTTCTTTAGTGCTTTACTAACGATCATAAGTTTACTTTATTTACTGTTAAAATATGGTTTTAACTTAACAAACTTTAATTATTTAAACTTTACTATGTTGATCATTATAGTTTAAAAAAGAAATTAGTTTGTTGCAATGAAGATAAGAATATTTTTATTTTTTAGTAAAATTAAAAAATATGTTTGCACTGATAGCTTTTGTTATTTGTTGTGTAATACGTTGTGTAAATTGATTTTGCTATAAATGCCTTTCTCTTCAGATTTTGACTATTTTTAACAGCTCTGTAAAAACATCTCCAAAAGGTAAATTAGTTTGTAGTGTAAATTGGTTTGTAGTAATTTTTTTTAATTTTATTTTAGATTTTAGATTTATTATTTTTTAATTTGCTTTTTTAGCATATTACTGAACAAATAGAGGGCCCACATCTCATTAGATGTGAGGTTAATTTTAGGGCAAAAGCTTCGCATCCCCCGCCCTTTTTTTATTTTCTAATATAAACTGTGGATACTGCAGAAAGAAGATCTTGTATAAGGAAGGAAAATGGTGGGAAAAAGATGTGCTGCATTTTATTATTTTTGTAATTGAATTATAAATTGGTAGATTAACCATCTACCAATTTATAATTCAAAGTTAGTTAAATTTTTTTTTTCAATAAAACTTTTTTTATATATAATTTGTTTTGTTATTATATATAAATAAATTGATTTCCAGTTAATGCATGTGTATTTATTTCTTTATTTAGATTTATTTTTTCTAATCTTTATTTAGATTAATCAGATGATGTGATTGTTCAATATTGACATAAAATTGTAAACTATTAAAAGTTGTTATGTTTTGTTAATAAATGTGTAAATAAAAATATCTTTAATTTTACCAAGCTATTGGTATTTTTTTGAAACCACAATCTGTAATAATTCGTATTTTATCTATGTGAACGAAAGCCTATGTAAATATCTAACATTTAAACTTCAAGTTTTGTAACTTATGTAAAATTATAAACCATGTTTTACAGATTTGCTTTTACTTGAAAATTTCATTGCGGCAATATCTCCTTAATTTAGATTTATAGCATTTATATGCCGTTTTATAGAGTTTAATAAGTCTTTTGTTTATTAAACAGAGTTAAAAAATGGCATTATAGCATGCCAATGTGGCTGAAGAGCTTCACGTGGGTTCAAATCCTTTCGTTTACATACTTATTTTTACATATCTTATTTTTTTCAATTTTCGAGAATAAAATTTTTTTAAAGGCCTACACGTATTATATGCTTAACATATATAAAAATATTATATACTATAACAAACGAAAGGGTGTGAGTTTTTTAGAAAGCTTTTTAAAACTTCTAAAATGCAAGTCCGTTATTTCACAAATATTTTTTATCATTTTTTATACCGATGGTAATTAATTAACACATTTAAAGTGGGCATTCTGAATATTATTAAGACGGGTACTAGTATCCAATGCGTTGATAAACAGCGATCCGATAAAGTTTTTTAAAATTAAATATAAAAGATTTTTTTTTCATAACTTTAAAAAGTAAGCAAAACAGTATAGTTTTTCAATATATATATGTAGTTATTTTTTTACAGATTTCTAAAAAGTATAGTATGGAATAAGTATAGAAAAGCTTGAAGTGGAATAGATTCGTACCAAGATGTACCAAGACCCATATTTTACTGGTCATGGCAGCTAGTTTTATATAGTTTTTGATTTCTTGATAGTAAATAATTTGTAATTTATCTACAATTTTTATTTCTTCTATTTTTTTTTGTTTGTTATGCCTAAGATTTGTTCTCACTTTAATGTTTATATTATTCACTTTAGATTATTCTCTTTAGATTTTTATTATAAGAAATTATTATTATAGTGTAAACTATATGATGTTACATGTTTGACAAGTTTTATTGCAATAGTTGACATGTAATTTTTTTTATTGTATAATGTTGTTGTAATGTTTGTGTTAATAGACAGCTTAGCTTACCTTCACGTTGTTGACTATCGTTAAAAAATGATTACTGTGTTGCTTCATTACTGAAACTTACTCCTAATCGTTTACTAAAATAAATATTCTTAGAATATTTATTTTAGAATATATATATATATATATATATATATATATATATATATATATATATATATATATATATATATATATATATATATATATATATATATATATGATGATATACTCATATAGGATTTACTCACTTTCCTCCCACCCAACCTTCCATCCCGACCTTCGTCATAACTAACGTCATAATCCGATAACGTCATAACGTTATAATCCGATAATGTTTAAAAAAAAAAAAAGATTAAATTTTTTTTGTTTAAAGTTAATCTAGCGTTATAAAAAAAATATATAAAAAGCAAATGCTTTTTAATTATATTCGTTATAAAAAATATAAAAAAGCTTTCTGTCAAATTATATAATTGTTTTTTATAATATAAAAAATGGGTAAAGTTAAAAAAATTGATGAAAATAAAAAAAATAAGGTCAAGCGAAAACTGTTTGAAAAACCTGTAGCTGTAAGTTTATTATTTTCTTTTTTTTATAAAATTTGTTTTGTATTTTTTTAAAAGTGTTTGTGATTTTTTTATAGATTGTTAAACCTTATGTGGCAGAAAACTTATATAAAGCGCCTCAAATTTATGTCCCTCAAGTGGTTGAAACGAGGCCACTTGAGGAAACAGATGAATATTTGTATGAAAATGAGCTGGAAATCTACGACGATATTCCAGAAATAGACAATGGTAAATTAAAAAATTTTATTATATTAATTTTTTTTGTAAAAAAATATTAGTTTAAAATAATTTTTTTTAGAACAAGTTGGCATACTCGATAGTATAATGAATAGATTCGATCAACAAGAACAAGTTCGCATACTCGATGGAGTAATGATTAGAATAGATCGACATTTAAACGAGAACAGAATGAACAGAAACGAGCGTTATTTTGCACATAATCGAGAATGTATAGGTTGTTGTTTATGTAAAGGAGAAGAAAGCGAACATAATCATTGTTGTGTACCTCATTGTGTTTTGTTTTCTGTTCAATCAAAAAAAGAAAGCGATCATCTTACCAAATCTTCTATGACACCTGCTGAAATAGCTTGCACTATGATTAAAAAAATTACTTTTCATAATTTTAGAAGAACTTTTGTCAATTCTTCAGGTGACACTTATGTAATTGATTTAGAAAACAAACCAGAAGATCAACAATTATGTTATCGTAGTTATGTTTCTTGGTGTAAAGGAAATACTCCTTCTACTCTTAGTATTAATAATTTTGCAGATTTTTATACCTATGACGACGACAGTTTTATTAGAAACCCCAAGGATTATTTCAGTAAAACGCAAAATTTAACTGAACCTTTAGCAATTGACACCACTAGCGATTATAATTATGTTAACGACAAACCACCGGCAACCATTCAAGGAAACAATTCCTTACAAATTACCGTTGATTTTGTTACCAATTTTAAAGGTATCATAACTCTGTACCTTCAACTTGCGGCACAACTGGTTCAAACTGGAACAGGAGAAGACGAAAATTACACATATTTTCCTTTCAAATTTAAATCATCATAACACCTTTTACAACATTTTTGTTTTAGTTAAATTAACCATGTTTTAATTGTATTTTTTTATGCACGCACGACTATTTAATTTGAAAAAAATATAAAAAAAACATTTATATTTGTTCTTTCTCAAAATTAATTGTATGGCGCGAAGACGGTATCGTAAAAGAAGAGGTCGCAAACATCGAGGTAAAGGAAAAATTATAACAAGAGTTAAAAATCTTGCCAGACGTTTACTTAGATCAGACGTGGGAGGTTTAGCGTTAGATTATTTGCAAAAACAACGTAATGTATAGATTGTGTAGAAAAAAAATTCATAAAAGACGAGGAAAAGGAAGAGTTTATTTACCTCCGTTAAAAGGCGCCGGTAGAAGGAAACGAATACGCGGTAAATTTCTTCCGATATTAGGCGCTTTATTGGGTGGCAGTTTACTATCTTCTATAATACGTTAAAAAATTATTTTTAAAATGCGTAAAAGACTAAAAGGAAAAAGACATAAAAAACGTTTCAAAAGACGTTACAAAAAACGAATGCTTGGAAAATTTTTAGGAGCAATAGGTGCAATTGCTTCAAAACTTTTACCAAGACTTTTACCTGTTATAGGAAGAGCCGCTTTAGGTGGCGCAGTTTCAGGAGGAATATCTTATGGAATTAATCAAGCTGGAAAATAAAAACATTTCTTTGTATCATTTTAATTTATTAAATATTGTATTACAACCGTATACATGCTCGTGTTTTAAGTTAAATTTTTCGTAACCCTTATAATAATTAATAAAATTTTCCAAGCGTTTTAATAATACAACTAAACGTTTGTTATGTATATCAAATTTCCATATGATAAACGATTCCAAACTCGACTGTTTCTCTTTATAACCCGGAGTATCAATAACAATAATATAAAAATATTTTTTTCGTATACACGTTAATATAAAACAAAATTCATAAAGTACTTTTAAATTTGTAAAGTTTATAATTTCTACAATGCAATCTAACTTGTCCATCATTTCCTCGATTGGTTTATATTTTCTTTTGTCAGTATTATTTAATACTTCTCTACAAATCTTCTCCAATTCATAAAGGTTCATATTCATTTATTTTGACTAATAGCACACAAACAATATATTGTAGTGTTCCAAAAAGAAAGAATAATATCATTAATAATGTCAGCAACGTAAACACCAAAACCATTAACAAAAAATTTGCAATCTTTCCAGAAACGAGTAACAACAATTTTGCTATCTTTTCCAATTTTGTATAATTATATAATTTTATCGCATTAAGTTTAACAAAGTTTCCAACACATTGAAAAAACTTGCATATTTGTATACCACTTTTTTTAATAAAATTAAATACTTCCATTTAAAATGCAAAAAGAACTTCTATTATTGTAAAAACAAATATAACAGCTTTAACGAACTTCCCAACTATGTATTTGATTACCATGTGAATCGTACATATACGGATTTGGTTTTGGTTTTTCTGAATTGTACGGTTTTACAACTGCAACAAGTTTTGGTTTATCGAACTGTTGTTTTGGTTTGTTCTTTGATTCCATCTGTATAAAATTAAAAAACATTTGTTTTTTTATATATTTTTTTTATAACGCTAGATTAACTTTAAACAAAAAAAATTTAATTTTTTTTTTTTTTTAAACATTATCGGATTATAACGTTATGACGTTATCGGATTATGACGTTAGTTATGACGAAGGTCGGGATGGAAGGTTGGGTGGGAGGAAAGTGAGTAAATCCTATATGAGTATATCATCATATATATATATATATATAAATATATATATATATTATATAAATATATATATATATATATATATATATATATATATATATATATATATATATATATATATATATATATATATATATATATATATATATATATATATATATATATATATATATATATATATATATATATATATATATGTTTATTATTATTATATATAAAATTTATTATATATATACAATATTAATAAAGCATATCATTGGTATTGACGCAACCAATTTGAACCGCTTCTATATTTGCTCTTAATAACGCTAACACAACAACTTACCAACAATCCTTCATTCAAAAATACCTTCGTATTATACGTGATGGTGTCAGTGATCTTTACCTGCCACGCAACATTGGCAGCTCAGCTGCATTTTCAACACAAAAGTAATCTGTTTAATAAACAGTGTTTGTTTGCCTACGCTCTTGTGCCTACACTTCTTACATTTTTAGCAATGGAGAAAATTGTACAATTCATTATTTGTAATGGTAATCAATTTAAAATAAAGATTTATATAAATAAAAAAAAATAAGTATTCAAAATCATTTTATCTTCAATTTCTTTTTTCTTTTGCCTAATATCTTAAGATTTATTCAAAGTAAATTGACTATTTTATTACATAACAAACTTTTAATGAACAAAAATCTTATAAATGCCATATCGGATATAACTTTATATAATATAGAAAAAATATAATAATTAAGTCTGTTCGAGAACGTCACGGTAGTAATAACGACAAAGATAATCAACCTCAGTTTATTAATGAAGCAATGGCTGCTTCCTACTTGGCAGAGGGACGTTTATGAAACGTCCTGAAGACGTCAGTTTTGGACTAGGAGACGTCTTAATTTGACGAAGGGGAGACGTTCAAGGGTTGTGCCAAATTAAATGTTTTGCGTCCTTCCCTAAGAAAAAATATGTAAACGCAACTAAGACGTTATTTGGGATTTCCTGTGGACGCACGTCCGACGTCTTACGGATGTTTTTAGGACAATTCATACCCACTGAGGCGTCCTTGAGACGTCTTATTATAAGTTTTAAATTTTTTAATTAGGGTTAATCCGTGGCTTGTGACTATGCCAGATTAGTATCCTTTAATAATGCTAGCTAGTAACTAACCAAGTTAGAATTCTCACGCGCTACAGGGAAAAAAATTATAAAAACTAGACAACATTTGGTAATTTAATAATAGTTATTTGCAAAAATAAATTCTCCAAAAAATTGTGAAATTCAAAGTAAGTTAAAATAATAATTTTCAGGCTCTTTTGCTTCTTTACTCAAAGTTCCAGCCTTATTTCAAGTAGCTCTTTTGTGTCATTAATATTAAAACCAATAATATCTTTCGTCAAGTTTTTTGAATGATCCAGAAACGCTTCTAAAAATAAAATTAATAACCTTTTGTATAATCAAATTGTAAATAAAGTTGTATATTTTTAAATATGTTTATGTAATTATCATACTATTAATATTATTTAAATACATCTTCTTTTTAACTACACATTTTTGATTTGTAATAGCAGTTTTACTTTATTAAGTTACTAAGCCAAAGAGTTATTTCACTTTGTTTTATGGATGCCAATAATACTAATTGGTATTAGCAATATTAATAATTATTATTACTAATTAGTATTAGAAATAATAATAATTATTCATACTAATTTACATTTCATGTTAGTAACACTTATTTGTATAAACGATTAAAAGTAACGGTTTAAAAAAATGAAAAAATGATTCCTGCTAAATTGACAGGCTAAAAACCTTTCTGTGTCAAATACCGTTCTTGGATTATGGTTACATGGTAATGTTTATACACATTGATGCCACAATCCATTATTGTCTTGTGGTATCGTGGTAATGTTTATCCACATACTTACTGAGAATATTGGCTGTTGCAATAAGTTTTCTCTTTTCACAAAAAGCCGCTTTTTGTGAAAAAAGAATTATAACAAAAATATTTGCAACCTTTTTAAACTAAATTGAAGAATAAAAATAAATAGAAAAAACGTTTAGATGGGAACAACTCTATCTCATATACTATAAAAGGTATTTTTAAATAGTATGTAGAAATACCTTACAACTTTCAAAGCTATTGTTAAATACCTTACAACTATTAAAGCTGTTGTTAAATAAGTAACTATGTAAGGTATTATTGCACTCATCTAAATGTTTTTTTTTTTTTTTGTTTTTCTTTTAATTTCTAATTTAGTTTACGAAGGTCATTTCTTACGAAGGTCATTTCTTACGAAGGTCATTTCTTACGAAGGTCATTTCTTACGAAGGTCATTTCTTACGAAGGTCATTTCTTACGAAGGTCATTTCTTACGAAGGTCATTTCTTACGAAGGTTTTCCTTTGAATCAAAAGACTTGTTCAATTTTTACTAAAAACAAATTTTCACCCAAGTCTAGTTTATAAGATTTAAATTATTTAAATGATGGCGAATGTAGTAACGAATAAGTTGAGTATAGTAATATACAGCCCTCTAAAATTACTTCATCATTTTATCCCAAGTTTTAGTTAATTATAAAAACAATATTTGTGCAAAAGGCACATGTTTTCATATAAATTAATCAGACTTAAATTTGCATATTAAGTCAATATGCAAATGTAAGTCTGATTAATTTTTCACCAAAACCATTAGTCATGGTTAATGTAACCAGTACGCCATCATAAGCGCAATGTCATCATAGGCATCTTTCCCCTACATTTAAATAAAAATAACTTTGTCAAGTTACTTACAAAAATAAGCAACAACATTTATAAAAAACTCAGTAGTCTGTCCATGAAGGTGATTATATCATCTTAGTAACTTGTCTTAACCTCTTAGGCCGTTATGTCACTTTCAAGTAGAGTACATTTGATTTCTGTTTGCTTGTCAAACTGTGCCATAGGACCTTCAGGTTCTACATCGAATACGACTGAAAAAAGTTGTTTAATATTTTGCATATGACAGTGTTTTCAGTTGTAGTAGATCCGTCTGGCATTCTGAGGCACCTGATACAATCTTGAAGTGTTGCTTATTTCGCACTTGCCCATGAAGTTTTAGATTGGTTTTTGATTCTCTCACAAGTTTCTCCTCTTAAGTCAATATTGGCGACTTGTAGATGAGTACGTTTACCAGACGCTTGATATTTTGCCCAATGTTTGTACTTCTTGTCAACTGTAGCAATAACGTTTGGTGTTTTTCGCTGCAAAATGCGTTGTTGTTGTCGTAATGTGGAGCGTAACTGCTTCATTGTATTTTTTAACAAATATTTTGTAGCTTTAATCTGTTGAACAACCATGAAAAACCAATTGATAGCTTTTATATTCTGAGATAACAACTTAAAATCTGCCTTACTCCAGATTAGACGCCAGTTTTTTGATAACGTATGAGTGTAGAGATCAGTTATGGCCATTGTGCCCATAACAAGACAATGCGAATGTCCAATTAGCATGTATCCTAGAGGATCGGACTTTGAAACATCATGTATTCGATGCGATTTGTTGCTGATTATTAGGTCAAGAGTTGTTTTTAGCAAAACAAGGCGCAATTGGCGGTACGTGGGGAAAGTTACCAACTGTGTCAAATGTACTTCTGCAAGACATTCTTGAAACTTCAAGTCTTGTGACCGTTCATTAGTCACGTGGCCAGCAGTTGCCACTCCACCCCCAATATTGATAGGCTCATACCACGTGTGGCTAAAATAAAAATCGCCATAGGCAATTATAGCTATAATTAGTACGTTCTTCTCTGCGGCTATAGATGCAATGACTTTGTCTAGTACTATGTCATCGTGATCACAAGGCGTGTAAATTCAGCCTAGCAAGAATAATTCGTTTCCGTAGTTTATTATTCTCCACACTTGTTCTATTGAATTTGAATTTAGTTGGTTAAACCTGACTTTTGACGTCATCATGTCGTCTTTCGTGTAGATGGCAACTCCGCGTCCACTGCCATTTCTGTCAACTCGGTGAAGTTGATAACCGCTGATAATTGTATCCGATGTTTCACTGAACCATGTTTCGACAAAAAACAATTGTGGGGTCGGTTTTTTCTACTGGCGTAGCTGCTAGTCTTGCCATTAGCTCATCCACTTTTGTGCTGTTTAGAGAGCATGAGTTGTTGGCCGAGAAGCGTAAACAAGTGGGTGTTGAAAATGTTGTGTTTCTAATGTACTTTTTTGTGAAAGCCTTGGTGTTTAGTATCCACGGAAGAATCAGTTCCATTTATAGTATTCGAAGTGTAAATAATAATGTCTTGAATATTTTTAATGCAAAAGATATTAAAATTTTTTGTCCTTTTTTAAGAAGGCTTAGTTTTATTAGCTGCAGTTAGTTTTACTTAAATCGACATCTTTTTCTACCTTTTTGTCTATGACACTCTGGGTACGTGAAAGTCCGCGTTTTACGTAACCAAATTTTGTGCTAAAAAACTGTTTCACGTTTTTTAGATTTTATTATTTAGTTAGCGTAGTAAAGACGTGTTTAACTGGAAAATTTTTTAGAGTTTGAAATCAACAAAGATTATTTTTAGAAGCTAGAATAGTTAAACTTTGTTACAGTTAGGTTTATTATTTGACTAGATGGCTTTTTTATTGAGTTTTTCGATGTCTAAAACTTTGTTGTACTTTGGGCATGGAATTAATGACGAAGATATGGTCATTCTTTTTTCTATATATATACTACCCTTTTCTATATATATATAATATATATCCTTTTCTATATATATAATTTCTTTTTTTTATATATATACTATTCTTTTTTTTAAGTTTTTTTATTCATCTATGCACGAGC